CCTGGAGATTGGACTTTGCGATTACCATATCAGACCCTTCTCTTGGACCTGATGTTCCTGGCTGCCTTGAGTAGGGAGATACTGCTCAACAAGTCCCTCTCTTGGCAACTGACTGACCTGTCATCATGGCGTCCCTACTGCTTTAATAATGCTATGGTTAGAACGTTCACTCCAGCTCCATGGAACACTGAAACTATAGCTGTTGCTAAAACCACAAACTTCTGCTTCAGGAAAACTTACTCTAGCTACAAGCTTTAGTCTACATTAGGGACAGAAAACTTCATCTCAGTCATGACCTCCCAATGGCCCAGCCTGCAATGGCTACGGAGACCCTACTCTTTCTTGACTGCTCTAGAACTTATAACAGCAGTCTTCAGCAGTGTCTGGAACAAAGAAGGGCTACTCTAGCACAAAGCATGTCATTAACTGAGAGCTTCTGACTGGTGGAAGTGGATGTGGGCCTGGGTGGCTGTGACTGGTGGAAGTGGACGTGGGCCTGGACAGCTGTGACTGGTAGATCTATTATGCAAGCACAATATGCCACGTCCTTCTTCTGGCAATACAAACAACCTGTTTGCCCCTTTCTAGAGTTAGTCGGGAGGCTTCTCCCATGTGTGCTAACACCTGCCCCAACCCCTACATCTTGCCAAGTGTTTTAATGGCCCTATCCATCCTCCTTTGCCTGTTTGCAGTCCTTATTGTGAAGAGGGCAGAGATAACTGCAGGAAGAGAACTGTTTAATACAGTTCCTCAATGGCGGTGACCCCAACCATAAAATGATTTCTCTGCTACTTCATAACTGTAGTTTTGCTACTGTTATGAATCGGAATGTAAATGTCTGATTGTGACTCCCAAAAGGGTGGCGACTCCCAGGTTGCGAACCACAGCACTAGAGTCCCATAGCTCCAGCTCACGGCTGAAACACTCAAGAGGAGGCTAAGAGCCTTGCTCCCAGACTCAGAGCTGGAACTCAGTCACTGCGCGTAGGCACCAGGCCTCCAGCACCCACAGCATAAACTCCTGGCTTTGAAGGTTTGCAGTCTCTACTCCCAGGGCTTGGAGCTAGAACTAATGGATTTGGAAGGTAAGCTCTGTGAGCTGCCGGAACTGTCAGAGCTGCTCCTGTGTCTCTGTGATTTCAGTCCAGACAGAACAAAAAAGCCGTCAGCCAGCATTTGTAACCTGGGAGTCTGAGGGCCAGTGAGCAGGTAGTGGTGACTGTGAGGAAACACAGGCCTGCCAGCTCCTTTGTTTTTCTTCCTATTCTATTTGCCCAGAGCCTACCCAGGGGGGCAGCTTTAGAAACAGCTCTTCTTTTCCCAGAGAGCCTTTCCTAACTGCGGGAGTGAGTAAGAGATGTACAGTACCAGCCAAGGTTTGCCATGATCAACTTTGTTTGACAGACCATGGATGTTCTCATGTAGGCAGCTGGAAGGGCAGAAACCACTGGGGGCTGGGGTCGCCTAGCTGGTGTGGAGTCTACTCAGACCTGGACATTTTGTGAGTCAGAAACAAATTAACCTGTAACCCCAACACTGAAGAGACAAAGACAGGAGGATTACCCCAAGAGACAAAGACGGGAGGATTACCCCAAGTTCAAGGCCAGCCAACTCCATGTAGTGAGACTTTATCTCAAAAAATAAACAAAATTTTAAATAAATACATTATATATAATAGTATAGAAATGTACTTAGATTATATGTGTGTGCGTGGAGTTTAATAGAATCTTCACATAGTTATTTTAAAACTCAGTGTAAGTAAAAAATAAATAGGGAATGCATAAGTCATGTGCATGTCAGTAGTGTATGTTTGCAAAATAATTTACTTGGAAAGCCTTTAAAAGGGCATTTTAATCAAAACTTTCAATAGGTTCACCATTGCCTTCTTTTGTGGTAGAAAATTAGAAATTTTTCCTTTGAAGTATTTTCCAGTCTATTTTTCTTCTGGGAATGGAAAATGAAAACCTCAGATTTGGCTCCCAACTTTAGTCCTCTCAGCAATCTCTTTCTGTCCTCCCCGAGCATTTACCGACAGACATCACAGGGCCCTCGCAGTTGCCCCCAATGGGCCTCCCTCCTGCCGCAATGATTCTCACGAACTTCTCTGGGCCGCGTCCCACTGCCAGCCAGCTCTGGGCCCACAGTCTGGCCATTTCAATTAGCCTTTAGACCTTTCCTCCTTCTCTTTATGGACACACTGCTGTTGAAAGTTGATAGCAGTTGGATTTCTCTGCGCATGAAAGATCCCAGCGGCTGCTGCTAAGGCCTTTGCCATCTGGAATCACAAGTCTTTGACTTCGACTGTGGGCCGGGTGCTATTAAAGATTGTGCTTTCCAAGCAGAAAGGAAGCAGCGGGGCTCCATGTGGTTCTGACAAATTACATCTTTCATTTCCTGGTAGGTGTGTCCACCAACTGTTGCCTTGGCAACACCGAGCTTTCAGGAGGCAGCTAGTGGACACACCCACCAGCTGAACTAAAGCAGCAGGAAAATTGACTTTGATGATGGCTGGAAATTCCAAACTGGTTTTGGTCTGATTTTACCTGGAAAGTTTAGGCAAGATTTCTTCAGAGCCATGAGTAGTGTAACAGTTATAGGTCCCATGGGTGCTTGAGATGTCAGTATATTCTGTATAACTCTGATGAGGAGCCAGAGACCACTTCTTCACATCTTGGACGCCTTTGAGTACAGTTACACACTGTCCATGCAAACATTATTGCTGTAAATGTAAATCCAATGGCCATATTATTTTAAGTCAAATTTCTTTAATTAAAAATGTTATGTAATACCTTTTAATTGTATTTGTTTGTTTACTTATTTGTTGCATATGAGTAGTTTGTCTGCATGTATCTCTGTGCACTGTGTGTATCCGGGGTGCCTGTGGAGGCCTAAAGGGTGTCAGTCTTCCCCTGGATGACTATAAGCCTTCATGTGGGTTCTGGGAATCAAGCCTGAGTCCTCTGGAAGACCAACCGGTACTCTTATGCTATGTAAATCTTATAAAAATTAATATCACTTCTTTCTAAGTTACTGCCACCTTTTAGTGACTTCTAAAAGCACCCACACACTTGTTTCTTTCAAATTAAATACCTTTGAGGTTTCTTCAAAGTATTCAAAGTCAGTGTCTTTAAAATTCAAGTTTTCTAAGTACTAAGCCAAGAATAAAAAGTGTATATAGATGTTTTGCTTTAAATAATCAATATTGAAATTCAGTCATATATTAAATGATATATCATGATAAAGGAAGGCTATTGAAGAATTGACAGATGTCATTACAGTGACAGATTTTTCAAACTTTTTATTGGTTCTTTGTGAATTTCACATCATATGCCCCAATCTCACTCATCTCTCTCCTCATACCCACCCTCCACCCTTGCAACCTCTCCCAACAGAGGAAAAAAGTCTCCTTGTGGAAGCTGTGGTGAGTCACAGTGTGTCCTACAGTTTACCCTCTTGTCCACACTTCTTTGCTTGCTAATGTTCATTTCAATGACTTGGTCTGATGCAAGGCTTCTGGCTACTGCTATTCTATCAACACTGGAACCTCACAGGGACTCCTCTCAGAGTCCCTGTTATTGTCTGGTGTCATGGAGATCCTGCAGTTTTAGATCTGTAGGACTGGCCCCTTCATGTAGTTCATCAATGGGCTAGATGTTGGGTTGGGCCAATTCAAAGCCCTGAGCTGGGCCTGGATGCTATCTGAACTGGTCACCTGCCATTCTTCCTCTCACATCCTGGGGCTGGCTCAACTACAATTCTACTCCCGGTCCCCAACCAGGGCCAGCTCTACTCAGGATAGGTGCAGGGCCCACTCTCCTGACTTGCAGCCAATCAGTGAGGGATATGGACAGTTTCTCCACTCTCATAACTCCAGGGCCAGCCCTCCTGCTTGCCATAGGCAGTGAGGGATGAGGAAAGGGAGGAGGGTGTCTCTCCTTCATCCAAACCACTGCCCAACAGACAAGAGGTAGGGCAGGTCCTCCCATGCTCGTACTCTTAGGGCTGGCTCACCTGTGCCCACACCATCAGGGTCAGATCTACTGTGCTGTTCAGGTGACGTGTGGCGCCCGTTCTGCCAAGTGATGCATCAGGTGAGGGGCAGGGCCAGCTCTCTCTCTCTGATGACCTCAGGGCCAGCTCTCCTGCCTGCCATAGGTAACAAGGGACAAGGGGAAAGGGGGAGGGCATATCTCCCTTGCCCATGTCACCAGATGACAGACAAGTAGTGACACCAGCTGTCCCATGTTCATGCTCTTGGAGCCAGCTCCACCTGCCCCTGCCACCAGGGCCAGCTCTACTGCACTGCCCAGGCATGGTGCAGGGCCCATTCTCCTGAGTGGTGCAGGTGGAGGGGCAGGGCCATCTCTCCTGCTCTTGTGACCTCAGGGCCAGGACTCCCACATGCTGCAAGTGTTTGTATCCTCAGGCCAGCCCACCTGCAACTCCTGCAATGTGTGTGGTGCTCCCCCAGTACCTCAGCTGGCTAGGGGTGGGGTCAACTCTCGTGTTCTCATGCCCCCGGGGCCAGCTCTCCCACAATGCCTGGGTGAGGAGTGAGACATCAACAAGTCTCTGAGTAGCAGCCCAGATCAGAGATGTCTGCCTGGCCTTGGGTGGTAACAGCCATCTTCTGCTGCAGAGCCACAGACCCAGAGCTGGCCCTGTGGCAGTACAGACCAAGACTCCACTATGTTCCCAGGCAACATCACTAGCTCACATCAGGCGGTTCCCATTACCCTTCAGCCCCCAGTTCTGCCTCTCTTCATTGTGTCCACATCCTCCTGTTTCTTTCTCTTCCATTTTTTTCCACCACGTGCTCCTCTTAGAGGTACCTGGGGTCTCTGAGTGTCTGAGGTCATCCCAGGAGTGATCTCAGGAGTGCGGTTCCCAGCTCTTGCATTATGGACCTGCATGGCCAGACTGGTGGTTGTCTCAGGATAGCTCCTGTCTGGGGTCTCTGATGCTGGACTGGTGGTCATCTTAGGCTCGGTTTTTTCAGGGAATGTTAAGCTACTTATCATTCAGGTGTACATAGGTCAGAACACTAAACTTAGATGCAGCCTTTCTTCTCTTTGCCACCCACTGATGTACATGTGATACGGCAGCCACACCAACAATGCCTCTAGGGACAGAACATGAGTAGATTTATCAAACACATCACAGGCACACGAAATGCTTGCTGGTGGATTGCCAAACCTGTTTCTCTCCTTGACAAGCATGCATCTTGAACACATCTCTCAGCCCCTCCTGCTGCAAGGTATGGATTGGTACCCACATTATGGCAAATGGAATAGTGGTGGGGACGTGTGTCACTTTTGCCTGTGCAGCCTTCCTCCAGGGGAAAGATGATGCAGCAGTGAACGGAGTGGTGGAGGGCATAGCAGAATAGTCTCAGAACACCTGTACCTGTCAGGTGAAGGTTCCTAATACTTCTAAAATTTGGAGGCGTATTAGCCATGGCAACTAGTTTAACATTCACTAATATTTATAGCAAACCACAGTTAGTAACATTTTACACCCATCACTAGATTTTGGAACGCAACCTGTAAGATAGATCACGGTTTTCTAAAGTGGATTTATTTTGGTCAATCGTGCCTGATTTATTATAGAATATGTTAAGTCCTGGGTAGCTGCCGCCTGTCTAGCCAGCCACTTTATGCTGTTATGAGGAAGCTTTCTCGTCCTCAAGTTGATTGCATGTGCCATTATGTTCTGTGCTTTGGCGTTGTTGGAATCCAACCACAATAGAGGTCAGTTAGAGCTGCTTTGAATAGCTAGCCACAGTAAGCTTGGACCAGAAACAACCGCCAGGCAATGCTTCCTGCACCTTATGCATGAGCTTATATGCTTGTTGCCTTTATAAACTGCTCCTGGAACGGAACCCAACATAAGAGAGACACATGTACCATAGGGGTCGAGTGAAGTTGTAAGTTCCCAATATCTCCCTGGGAATTGACATCCTACTTGGAAGAAAGAGACATGTACATAAGTAGTTGACATCCTGGTTGGCAAGTTAAGACATGAATGCTAGACAAGGCAAGTTCCCCACCACAGGGGAGTACCCCAGCCAACGGGAACAAGTTATGTGTACAGCAAAGACATGCTCCTAAGGAAGTCCCCCATGCTAAATCCTTATTGGTGGAATAACTTGGCACAGATGTTTGTGGATTTCAGGCTTCAAAGCCCTGTAGGATCCTGGCTTAGGGTCTCAGTGAACTCCCGAATCTGGTCTGCAGCCCTGATTGATCAGTTCCCAGGCAAATGCTCAATAAACTATCCCTGTCTGATTAAGGTCATTGTTTGTGTGGCTTGTGGGATGACTCCTGGACCCTAACGACAGACCCTGTTTTTTTCCCCTTTTCAGACAGGGTCTCTCTACATAGTCCTGGCTGTTCTGGAACTATGTAGACTAGGCTTGACTTGAACTCACAGAGATCTGCCCACCTCTGCTTCTGACTGTTATGATTAAAAGCATGTGCTTCCTTCATGCCTGGCCTGATACACTTTTTTTTTAAGTACACATGTATATATATTTATGTGTGTGAGTGTTTCGCTTGTATGTATGTCTGTGTACCGCCTGTGTATGTGTATCTGGTGCCCAGAGAATATAGCATCAGAACCCCTGGGACTAGAGTCAGGGATGATTGTGGATGTTAGGAACTGAACCCAGGTACCTCTAACAAGTTCTCTTAACTGCTGAATTGTCTCTCCAGCCTCTGGGGTTTGTGGAAGGCCAAGCATGTGGTCCGGTAATCCCAGCACTCAGGTGTAGTAAGGATGGCAATCCAGAGGTTGGCCTGGAGTACACAGTAAAATGTAGGCTATCTTAGGCCAGTGAACCTGTCTTGAAACAAGTTCACAGGGAATAAACAATAACCCTCTTCCTCCAAAAAACTTTCATTTGCTTCCCCCCCCCCCCCCCCCCGTGAATGAGGCTCCTAACCTAGAACTGCCTTAACCCAGGGCCAGAGTTTGGGCTTTCTCTATCCCACATAGAATAAGTATGATGCCATGAAGTACAATGGTTTTCAGGTGGTTGAGGTCACAATTCCAAATTTATGGCAGGTACTGGTCCTTCTCTCCCCCTTACCTAACTTCACTGTGAGACCCCTTCCATAACACTGTCCACTCCTCTGTAACGCTTCATAGCAAATGGTTGCAGACAAGGCAAGCTGCAAACCCCGGGTTGGTGATGGGAAGTCCTCTGCTTCTGGATCTCACCTGACAAGTCCTCACTTTATTAACTGTTTAATATGTACAAAGCAATATTGCTTCACTGAGGAGGTTTGATCAAATGACCTAATCCACGGTTGGGAGTAGACACCAGGGCCCTGGCTCGCTCTGCCTTATCCAGCAGGCCTCCCATGGGCTCTAGCACACTGTAGAGAATACGGCTACAAAACTTACAAGCGTCTTCATTGTCTTCCCCTTCCTCTGCTAAAAAGAAATTTCTGACTTATTATTTATGCCATCATTAATCTGAAAAAACTATTCCTGGGTTAGTACTATATATCTAGCACGCAATACAATCTTTTATACAAAGAAAATTTTATTGATGGAAAGATCACACAAAAAAGTTCTTGTGTCCGAAGTTTACATTTGTGGAAAAATTAGTATTTACATTTTCCATACAGTACATGATAATTTTCATTTTAAACTTTAACAGAGGTCCAACAGGCTCAAAGTATCCAAGAAAACCTTGCTCCAGTGATAATACTTAAGGAGAAACATTAAGAAGCTTTCTTAGCACTTAGTGTCTTCTCCCACTGTATTTGCTACACTACGCTCTCCCTGCCCCTGTCGTTAGCACATTTTCTTTTGCAGGCTTAGTTGCAGATAGGAATTTGCAGTGACTAAGAAAGATATAATGCAATGTGTCTGTAGTATTCTAAAAACATTTTTTAAGTTTAAATTTTAAAGAGATAAAAGCTGAGCGTGTGGCTGAGGCCTGTAACCCCAGCAGCTGGGAGAGAGGGGTGAGCGGCAGAGGGGTGGATCTATCTCTGTGAAGCCTGGTACACAGAGCACCAGATAGCTGAGGAGAGCAGCACAGTGAGACTCTGTCTCAGAAAATAAAATAGTAAAGTAAAACAAAGATAGGCACGCGCAACTATAAATGCCGTAATTCAATCTTGAGTGGTCATGAACCACTTAAAACACAAAGGAAATCAACAGCTTGGCCTAATTTATAAAAACCTAACATCTCACCTGCTGACTTATAAACATGCAGGAGGAAAGGGACAGCCAGTCAGGGAGGGAGGCTGTCAGCAAGTTCCGCCTTTCAGGAACTGTGACGGCTCCTCATCCACCTTCCAGTGTGACACCTCCTCTCTTTATTGTAAAGGGGCTGCTGTACACGTTTCTTAAAAATCCAGTGCAACAGCTATCACAGTTGCAAAGTAGCTAAAATATTAGAAAAACATCATAAAAATATTTGATTCAATTTTCTAGGATTTTCAAAAAGTTCAAATTCATATTAAGCATATTTTCAAATATATATCTACATATAAAGGTACAATAAGTTTTAAATACTTCAGCAAAGAAGAATCCTGGATTTATATCAAAAGAGTGAAAGAACATAAAATATCTTAAAATACTTTAATGAAAGAATCTTCATAAATAGAAGGAAGATTCCTCTAATGCCCTTCC